ATTAAAGGGGGTTAAAGGGCAACTGTTGATTTAAATTATGTTGGTATGTGTGACGGTTTTTTTTATAATAACTTTGAAGAGCATCTAATTTAAAGAATTTTGGAGGGTGGGCCCTTAAGCATCCTTAGGGGACTTGGTCGCTTCGGTTTATTTCTTCGAAATGGATTTACTTACATTTATAAGAACCCTAGTTGTGTCCCTGCAATATGAACCGTTATATATAGAAAAATAGAGGCTATTAATCTGTCACCAGTGACAATTCCTGTGTCATAGGAAAATAGGACTCACTATTTACAAGTCACGTCAATCCATAAGGCTTATCAAATACAAAAAGACATTATTCCAGCTATATGGCGGTGATCTGTAAATAATCAAGACCGGACCAGACAATCCAGTGATCAGTAGCATGAGCATCGATCTGCGCAATTGGGATACGACGATATGTGTTACCATGTCAGCGAGTCTGACCACCCGATCCCGTTACTCGACTTTTACGACAAGCATGGGTTGCTGAAGACCAATTCTAACCCAGATCTTAACAGATCCGATTATTTACTGTGTGACGTCACACAGCTGGAATATCGATAGTGCTGCGCAACCCTCCTAGATTCCTGGGAACAGAATAATGAAAGTTTGTGATGTTTCGATTGTATTACACGTGAAACTTGCTCTTTGTTTGATATGTTATCATCTGTCGTGGTTGAATCAGTAACAATCTATTTTCAGAATCACTGATTCTCCATCTACTCGATAGATACAACATAACTTTATCTCTTATAAAACCTTAACTGTCTTCACACATATTTCAACAAAGTGACAAAGATCACCGACCTGTATCCCGTCTCGCTCACTCTGCCTTGATATAATATAATGGCTGCGTTAACTCTGTTGTTGTTTTGTTAACATCTACATAATCCCTGAGCGTACAGTCAGTATGTAAAGTTATGCATAAGTATTTTCAGCATCATGACAGTTAGCTCGCTTGAGCATCGGATAATATACCCTATGAGAACATGTTGTTATCATTAAGACATACATGTCTACAACATGATTTCAGTATGTATTCACTCACTTATACACTGAGGCTTCTGCGTGAATCACGTTAGTGAGTTTATGATGATGATGATGTTTTATATACAATTGTACATTCAAATGGTAGCTGGAATGTATGGAATCAATGTTTGGGAAATGTAACGTCAACGCCAGACAATAACCAGATTCGATGATCTGCCAACACAGATTCCATCGGCATATGAGGCAAAATATTAATAATAATTATATAAATACTTCGGAGTTCGTGGAAACAAAGTAAGTGGGTTTAGTTTTACGCCGCTTTTAGCAATATTCCAGCAATATCCCATCGGATAACACCAGAAATGGACTTCACACACAGTACCCAAGTAGGATATCGAACCCGGGTCTTCGGCGTGACGAGCGTACCCTTTAACCACTAGGCTAGCCCACCGCCTCGACAACAAAAAGCATGTCCTAAGCTACAGGTAGTACCCATCACTTACTCAATTTACATACACACATGGCCTTCAAACAGTGGAGCCCAGAAAGCAGGTGTTTAAATGTCAATGTATTCTCCGTTCATGCTGGGAGTACATTAAGACTTTCAACGTGAATGATGAGTGAGTGAGTATGGTTTTACGCCGCTTTTAGCAATATTCCAGCAATATCGCTGCGGGAACATCAGAAATGGGCTTCACACATTGTACCCATGTGGGGAATCGAACCCGGGTCGACGCGGCGTGATGAGCGAACGCTTTAACCACTAAGCTACACCACCGCCCCCACTTGAATTATGAGGTCACATGAGGTGGAATACCCAGATCGAAAGGTATTAGTTCAAATACCTTTTACATCGCACATTTGGGGGGTGGTGCGTGGTCAGTTACAATTAATGATTGTCGATTCCCAACAAAGATGGCCGTTTGTTGTACCTGGTATTCCTGGAAAATTACGAAAAGCAGAACAAAACCATGCTTACTCTCTTATCTTCACTGACAATGTTGTACGCTTCTTCTGTTAGAATGCTGATCTGGATCTGTTTATTGTGCCTCTTTATCAAATGTCTAGAAACCTACATAACCAGCAACCATGGAGAGACAGTTGGTCTGGTATGTGCAACAAATCTCGATTCCTGCATTATTGATGAGTCCGTCCAAGAGGTGCTGATACTTCAGAGGACACGTGTCAGAATGAGATCAGAGCCCCATGAAACAAGGGACAGAGTGAGTGAGAGAATGAATTTAGTTTTACGCCGCGCTCAGCAATATTCCCGGTATATGGCGGTGGTCTGTAATTAATCGAGCCTGGACCACACAATCCAGTGATCAACAGCATGAGAATCGATCTGCGCAACTGGGAACCGATGACATGTGTCAACCAAGCCAGAGAGCCTGACCACCCGATCCCGTTAGTCGCTTCTCACGACAAGCATGGGTTACTGAAAGTACATTCTAACCTGGACCTACACGGGTCAAGGGACAGAGATGGAGTCTACGAAGATAGGAAGTGGAAATGGTATTTCTGATTTTCCTTCTCACTTATGCGATTTCAAGCAACACATGGAATGTCCTATTTAATATATTTACCTTTTATGAACTTGTATGAAAAAGAATATAATATTTGTCCATTATTTGAGAACAATTACGTCTTTATCAAACGTGATTATAATTATATACACAATCAACTTGAAAAATATTTACATACCTGCTGCAGCGATATAAGAGTCTCTATCACTACGTCGCATCATCTGAATACGGACGTTGTTCATCCATAAAGTTTGTCCTAATTTGAAAAATATTCTTGAATGCTTTCCACCTCATCATGATCAAATAACAAACTATGAAAATAACAGTCTCTATTGACGAGTTTAATAAAATATTAACCAACAGCGGATACAGTTTTTGAGGAGGGCGTACGATTTCTATAATGGCTGGAGTACATCTGTGCTAAAATATCTGTGCTGACATTTGAGGGACAAATGTGGTATTGATAACCTAACCAGACAACCAGACCAACACAAACAAAAATTATGATTTTGTTTGTCAAAACGTGCCGATCAGTGGTAATTTCTGTATGCATATATTAATATTTTAGAGCGATACTAATATATTGCAGAAAGTCGACTATAGCTGTTTCCAGTACAAGACACGTACGATTAAAGTGAAATAACGTATAGGGTTGTAACTACTGGAAATAAATCGTCCTGTCAGTGTTATTCAACACTAAAACTACGTCGATCTTTACATCCTAGATAACTCAGCCCTCAGCAGCTCCTACACGTACAAGTGAGCGTGGTCTGACCTTACTGCAGCTATAGAAACAACAATTAATGACATGATCAACCAGCTCCTTATCCCAGTACAGGAAACTAAACAGACCAACCACAGTTCAAAACAAAAAGTCAACCACTTGAAAATGTCTTTGGTGGCATTCAGTAACAGTCATTATGTTCAAAACGACAGCACACAATATTGAAACATATTGTCAGTTTTAATCACTGGATGGATGTACATGTAACAATCTTACACAAAATGGACCAGTCACAGCTGATTCAATCTGCACGGAAGTCTCCCTGTGAAAACTGCTTGTTAAACTAATGATTCTGATTCGGTGTAGAAGAACCTTATGTTCACTCTAATGAAATATCATGTGTTATTACATTTACAAAACATATCAGTATTTCACTGGTAACTTAAGGTGAGCTCCATAACAATGGTATTGACCCAAGACCAATAAGCAAATAGATCTAGGAGGGAAACATTTTCAACCATCCAGCGGGAGCCTAACGCAAAATACTTTGTACTTAGACAGAAATGTGCCACCAGATAGGAACTAATAGTCGCCACACGTGTAACAATGGTGCTGCCAGGACGGAACTAATAGTCGTCACACATGTACCAAGAGTTACCACCAGATCGGAACTAATAGTCGCCACACGTGTACCAATGGTGCTGCCAGGACGGAACTAATAGTCGCCACACATGTACCAAGAGTTACCACCAGGACTGACTGACTGATTGAGTTTAGTTTTATGCCACTTTTAGCAATATTCCAGCAACATCACGGCGGGGGACACCAGAAATGGGCTTCACACATTGCACCCATGTGGGGATTCAACTGACGCATTGCATTACGCAAACTGCCTTTTACCTAATGCATGAAATTCTTCTAAAAATGGCTGATACGGTTTGTTTGTTGTTGTTTTTTGTTTTGTTTTTTGTTTTTGTTTTTTTTTGAAGAGTATATATTCGATCACAATGCGATCACATAAGTCACATGTTAAAAATAAAAATCCTCTGCTCACAGCTGCTGGATGTCTAACTCTGCACCGTGGTGGTTAAACGACCGCTGTCAATACGTGTGTGAGTGTCACGGGACACCGGAAATAGGCTTCACACATTGTACCCATGTGGGGAATCGAACCCGGGTCTTCGGCGTGACGAGCGAACGCATTTACCACTAGACTACCCCACCGCCCCGCTGACAATACAGCTGACACTGACTTCGTTCTGTAGAACCTGTACCTCTTTGATCTCGGTTTGTTTCCAAAATCGTGTCATATCTTGCTACAAACATTGTGGTTGGTACCACTGAACAAGAGATGTATATCAACACATACAGGGTTGTGTGGTTTTTTAGCCTGATGACCCCGTTGTCAGATACGAATGTTAAAACATTGTCCGGCAAAGAGTTAAAACAACACCACTGGCGCTTCTTAGAACATTTTTACTTCAAAATATCCGTCGTTGTGGTCGAGATATAATCAATAACATTTGGTTGTAACAATGTAACAACATCAATAGACATTAATATCACGAACACAGACAATAATTTAACCATAATATTTAACAAACACAAAGCATATCAGAGGGTCATTATCTAGCAAGGACCGAAATGGATTCTGTTAATCTGAATGTATAAGCAAAATATTAGTATTTGCAGTTTAATTCAAATAGAAACCCCAGTTTCCCTTTCTGTGAGTCTGTTTTTGCGATTCTCAAGTATAATGGCAGTGGTGGACACCAAGAATGGACTTCACGCGTGTAGACATATGTAGAATCGAACTCGGACCTGACACGTGAACGCTATGACCACTACCTTTTAAAGTCAGTGAGTGAGTTTAGTTTTACGCCGCTTTTACAAATTGTACCCATGTGGGAATCGAACCCGGATGTTCGGTATGGCAAACGAAGGCGTTAACCACTTCGCTACCCCACCGCTCGTCCTTTTATAGATGGATGTAACTAGCAAATGGTATTTAGGAACTTCAATACCAGGCAATCGCTAGTCTCGATTAACCACCGAATCAGATGGAAGACAAAATGGCGGTGACATATATGCATCGATCACTGAAAATCAGTTATCTTATTTGTTCTTATTGATTTCACGACATATAACTGAACCACACTGTAATAGATGACAGTTCTGTATAATCGGTTTCAGCTGTTTCCTTTGCTTGCTGGCCCACTACTTGCGACCGTGTCCATTAGTGTCTGTGACCAACTATCCAGCATCGCTGGTATCTTACACATTTCACAATGAGATCAATATCATACGACGATATGGCTGAAATATTGCCGATGTGACGTTAAATATTAACTCACTCACTCACTCAATGTCATACGTACATGGACGGAAGTTCGGGATGTATATAAATAAAGAAGGAACCGTGCAAACGTTCTTCAGATGGAGTGAGTGAGTGTGGTTTTCAGCCGCTTATAGCAATATTCCAGCAATACCACGGCGGGTACACCAGAAATGGGCTTCACAGATTGTACCCATGTGTGAATCGAACCCGGGCCTTCAGCGTGACGAGCGGACGCTTTAAGGCTTCCCCACCGCAATTTTTTCAGATGGAAACATACACTGACGATCAAAAGAAAGTATACACCGCTATTTGATGGTGGTTTTATATGGAGCAAAACAGACATGGTAATTCGAGTGCGGTGAATTTGAAACGAGAATCGTGGTTCTGATCTGGGTCTCTATCCACAAAGCGTTCGTAGCGATACGCCTATGATAAACTGTAGAATTTTACGACAGGTCGTAAGGTTACGAACACCATGTGGATCGCTGCCCGGAACCTTAACTTTGCAGTGTTTCGGTGTCTGTTTTCGGCAAAGTGACGTTTTGGTTAAGTTTGTATTATTTTGGTCTTCAAGTGTATACTTCCTCTTACCTGGTAAAACAAAAACTTTTTAAAAGTTAACTCTAGATTTCTGTGTACTAGTGACTCAAGCTACTTTTTCATGGAATTAATTTTATCTACCAAGCATGCTTCTGTTGACCACATATTCTCTTCTTTGATATTACAGCTGTAAAGCGGCGGTCTCTATATAATCGATACTGGACCAGACAATCCAGTTATGAGCATCAATCTACGTAATTGGGATACGATGACATGTGTCAACCAAGTCCCGTTAGTCGCCTCTTAAGCGGTTACTGAGCATGAGCCTCGATTTACGCAACTGGGATACGATGACCTTTGATAACGGCGTGTTAAGGCATGATATGTATCCGTTTCGAGTTATTGTATCATATGTATCATCGTGTATCCAGAGCTTATTATCCAGATAAGTATCTGTCTCGGGAAAGTGAAGATTACCAGGCCTACAAGTCAGCACTCGGACTCGTCAACAAGGGACGGTGCCAGTGCACTACTAATCAGTTTCTGTTTCTGTGTGGTCATCACGATGTCCTTTCCGCTGACCAGCTTCACCTTCACCGACAGTTCATCTGAGAAGGGATGAACACTAAACATCCGATGAAGCGTCTGTTTGAACACAGCATCAGTTTTGTACAGAAGAACGTTTCTGCCCACGTCCACAAAGGCTATCCTGCCTCTTTGAACATCCAGCACAATGCCAAAGCTAAGGGTGGCACTTGTTCCTGGAGATCGAGACATAATGTCCTTGAAGGTCACAAGGTTCCCTCTGATCCATATCTGAGACGAAATCACCCGTTTACAGTCTGCCACCCGTATACACCACACACCCGTCTGGCGGTAAAGCGACATATTGTCCGTCGAATCTTCTTCCGCTACGCCAATCTCCAGGCACGTCTTCCATTTCCACAACTTATCAAGGTCCATGATGTCTACCTGGGCTTCCACCTCCCAGTACTGGGGTGGGGAGGGGGGCGTGGCGGTATTCCTGGCAAGGGTGATGAAAGGTGATGCACATGTCCCAAAACATTTCTGATATTTCTTTTGTCCCTGACCGGGGTCCGTGGGCGAACAGTTCATCAGTTGACCGTCTTGTGTGATGTGGCAACATTCGGTGTTGACCCTGCTCGTGTCCAGCGATTGGTGAGGACCTGAATACAGACCATGAGTGAGTGAGTGAGTATGGTTTTACGCCGCTTTTAGCAATATTCTAGCAATATCACGGCGGGGGACACCAGAAATGGGCTTCACACATTGCACCCATGTGGGGAATCGAACCCGGGTCTTCGGCGTGACGAGCGAACGCTTTTACCACTAGGCTACCCGAGACAAAGTGAAAGCCCGTTAGTTCCACCCTCTATATCTCAGGTAATTTAAGAACCAGGGGTTAGTGTAGGTTTACCGAAATGTGAGCAGTGGATATACAGAGGATGTGTTTGTTCAGCTCTGTTAAACTGATTTTGTTTAACACCGCACCCAGCAACATGCCAGTAACATGCCAGGAACGAGTTTTCTTTTTTTGAATCGTTTTGTTTGTTTGTTTTTTAACGCGCTGTGGCGGCGGACGGTAAATAATCAAGTCTGGACAAGACAATTCAGTGATCAACATAATAAGCATCGCTCTATCTTTTCATTTATAGTTGTTATATGTCAAATGCATGGGATTGTTGCTAAAGGGGTAGGTAACAAGTAGCCACACACACGTGCATTACGTCACGACACGTGCGCAATAATCTTGAACAGAAGTTCAAACCCCATTCAGTCCTCCCTTAGCACTATCATAGTCTTGTGGACCTTGTATCTCACATACTTTACCAGGGACAATGGGAGGAAACTCTACACAGCCTGCTTCAATGCCTTCATTCATAAGGTCACGAGGGTCCCCGTTACTACCCCCATTCTCCAGCCCACCCCTAATATCCCAGTGAGTGAGTTTTAGTTTTACGCCGCTTTTAGCAATATTCCGGCAATATCGCGTCGGGGAACACCAGAAATGGGCTTTACACATTGTACCCATGTGGGGAATCGAACCCGGGTATTCGGCGTGACGAGTGAACGCTTTAACCACTAGACTACCCCACCGCCCCTATTTTCCCCACCCCAGCAGTACACTCACATGTGATAGAGATGCTGGACATCCCCTGGACGTCGGTCAGAATGTACACCAGTCCCTCCTCTGTCTCCCCATCCGGATACACACCTGCAACATCAGAACAGAACTTCACAAACCATCCACTGTATCTGCACCTTGGCTGTATCATGCTGTATTCATAACACAGATAAGACCATAGGCCCATAGAACACGATCTGGAGCCTGTTGCTAATGTAAAACATTTCTAAAACTCGCCACAAGGAATGTATACAGTGATAAATATCTAACAGTGTTGTCACAACAGTATTGACATCCGAGTGGAACCTTTCTCAGAAACATTTTGTTATTTCATTCGTTAATACGCTGAGAGCTGTTGTAACACGGGTGTAGATGTAGCATAGTGGTGGTCCGATTAATTGAAATAATCGAAGATTGGTCGCAGTGGCTAAACAACCAAGCAATCGAACATGTTTTCTCATAATCGAACGCAACCAATCTTGGAACACTTGTTTGCATTTACAACATTTTTCACAAGGTTGGTTTTGTCTGTGTCATTAAATTACATTTCATAAGCACTACAAGCTCGTTCCAAGTCATGATTGAATTTATCTTAAAGAATCCAGGAAATCTGTGTTCCTAACATACTAATCATCCTTTAAATATGCGAAATTTGCAAATGAATTTTGTGCAATTTGCAATAAAGCCAAATTACTACATGTTTTTTCTAAAAAAAATTGTGTGCATTAACAAAGATAACAGGAATATTTGATAAATGACGCTTACCAATTATTTTCGATGATTGATCGGTTGTAATGGACCAATCACCAATCATTAGATTTTTTATAAATTCCCAACACTATAGCATACCCTCACCTGGAGTCTGGGATTCTTCATCCTTCAGCACCGCCACATCTACAACTAGAAGTCGTGTACTACATGTACCAGCAATACTTCAGCACCGACACATCTACAACTAGAAGTCGTGTACTACATGTACCAGTAATACTTCAGCACCGACACATCTACAACTAGAAGTCGTGTACTACATGTACCAGCAATACTGCTAACTCTCGTTACTTTGGACCCTAGTAATCCGGTAACCCCAGCTTTCCGAGTAATGCTGGGGACGCTTCTATACGTTAATACAACAAGTAAAACTCGAGTATTTATCACAATTCGTGGAATAATTTAGAAATTATGTCATTGTGATTGGTCCCAGGTTTCAAATCACAATATAACAACCGGAAACAGCTGATTTGATTGTTGAAACACCTTGTCCAGAATCTAATAGTTGTAGAAAGATGCTCCTTTGTACGCCATTGTCGTTATATTTGCAGTAATGTTTACAACAGTGGGTAACAAAACAGATTTGTGGTTATTGCAATATCCAAAATGAGGGAATACATTTTGGGTCAAAAACAAGAGCAGAATATCTGAAAAGAGGTGGATTTGAAAATTTAGGGGAAGCTTGAAAATGGGCGCTTTTCTATGTTAGACAATCACGTTTTGAATCACAATGAGCCATTTCACTTTTGGATTATTGCTGGAATACTGCCTAAACTTCACTCCACAAACAGTTTGCATTCATACAAATACAAAGGAAATATACAAAACTATATTTTCAGTGTCGAGCTAAGTTATCAGTAGATTTCTTATCGCGCTAAATTTAACATTTTAAGCCTCAAATATGGTCGTAATAAATTTAACATTCATCCGATGACAAAAATATTGTATTAGATGTATTAGATGTACCTGCATCTGGTGTCTGTGTGTCTACATCCGTCTTCACCACACCATCTGAAACCAACGTTGTCATTACAGAGAATATATTCACTTATACAACAACCTCTGGACCGATTTAGATCGAAATAGACCGAAATAGACTGATATTTCACCTTTGCTGTTTAGGCAGCACCGTGCCCGTTAGTAAATTGTGGCAGAATCATGCCAGAAAGTAAGGGCGTACATTGTACTCATATTCCAAATCGAACCCGGACAATAGGCTAGAAGAGCCAACCTTCCCCTACTGGGCCATCCACGAACTCCGAAAGTGACAAACTACTACATCTGGCGTCGCTTGTACCTTTCCTCACACATAACGCTCACGTGACTTATGACGGCAACTAATATGCAGCTCTAGGAGGACCTCAAGTTCAAAATGCTCTCACGCTTCACAAACACAGACTCACAAACACCGTCATAAAAGTCCCATGTTGTATTGTGAGAAATGCTTTCTGTTTCTCAGGATGACTGAATATTATGAGATTTTATGAGCGCATCCTTTAAGACACCGCTAAATACATGCGCAAGGCAAGGAAACACGGGTCAACCTATGTTAGTTCCGTCATACTACCAAATCAGGCACTATTAAGCGGTACAGGAAGATTTAATTGTATGATAATGCTATAGGTATTCAGTATTATATGACTGAATTGGACAGCGTGTCTTCCACTACAACATATAACACAAAATGAAGCCGCTAAATCAGGAAGCCACTCGTTTTTATCGTGGCTACTAATCATACAAAGAAAAATTCGATAGTTTATTTTCAATCAAATCCAATTCTAAATTTTAGTTCAGAGACGATCGTACCCCTCTTGTTTTAACATACACTAACGCATCCTTAGGGCTAAAATCGTTTAATGCAGACGGTTCCTGTGCTCTGTTCAACAAAGCGATCTTAGCGCTAAGACAAGACCGAAACTTTCATACTTAAACTTAGACTAACGAAGGCCGTTGAACTAAGATCGCTTTGTGCAAGCAGGTCCAAGGGTCCCGCTTCCCAAAGCGATCTTAGCGCAAATGTTCTACTACTCCTACTTCGTGCACGTAGGCCCTGGACAAGTATGGTTTCGCTTCAGTCACCTTTGGTTCTACTTCGCCTTAACGGCGCTTTCATCTTCTTCTTGATGTTGTTGAGTACGTTGGAGATCTGTCTGCCCTTCTCGGACCTCCCCAGCTTGTTTAGGCCAACCCTGCTGGACAGGGACCTCCAACTCCTCCTCATGTTGTAGCCGAAGCTGCTGCTGTTATCCTGGGGTTCGTCCGTCAACGACACCGACTCCAGCATCTGGGTCAACTCTTCTTCTTTCTACTCCAGAAAAGGGATCAATGTCATTAATGTATTTTGACAAACTATACATCGGGTATATTTTAGTAGATGTTAACATTGTATTAAAGTGGTTATTATCTGAAAGTTTTTTTATCATTACTTCCATAAAACGCATATGCAATTTGGAAAGCCATTAAAATCAACCTCAAAGACTTCAAAATCCAAAACCTCCAAGAACCAGTGACTGAAATGTGAGTGGGTGAGTTTAGCTTTACGCCGCTTTTAGCACTATTCTAGCAATATCACGGCGGGGGAAGATTGTCAGAAGATTGGGACTCTCAGGATCTTAGTTTGCGGGGTGTTGATATATTCAAGGGTCTTAAGGATCGACTGTGTATTTCTTTCGTTGCATTGAGGTATGAAACTAAAAACCAATGTGCAAACTGTATGAATCCGCGTAGCGGATTCTTACAAAAGTTTGCTCATTGGTTTTTAGTTTCATACCTCAATGCAACGAAAGAAATACACAGTCAATCCTTATAATTAAATTCAACAACAAGTACTACAGGCTTTCAACAATATTTTATTTAAACACAATCAAATTCATCGAAACAGATATCTTTGTTACCACCGATTAACATTTTCGGTGTAAGAATTCGGTAATGGCGTGACATGACTCAGGTGACTCATTTACATAAAATGACACGCCTACCAAACCATTAGCCAATCAGGATAGAGCACCCCCAACAGCTGTCAATCAACCAAGCTAACATCGGGGTTGCGAATCAGAGCGGAACAACACAACGTGACGCGTTCCGTTAACGGCAAAGTTTCAAGTTCAAACATTTTGAATCATTACCAGCGAACTGAAAGACATAGTTTGAAAAGTGAGAATTGGAAATGAAGCCCGATGACATGAAGTTAGCGGAACTGAGATTGTTAGTGGCAGCAGTATTTGCGCAAGTGGAAAGGGGCTGTGATGTGACTGGGATTGCGATGCCATGAACTGATGTTCCAACGTGCGCATACTCTTGTCGAGGCGTTACAATGGCGGAAAGCGTCTCGCTAATTCTTAGTTTTTGAGTAGTCGTTGCGTGGCGACTATAACTACGCACGGAACTTTCATTCCTATGGCCGTTCATAAACATTATGTGACGAAGTTCAAAGCCAGCGTCACTCATGGTTTGGATTGCTGTGGCACGAAGACAATGAGCAGTGTATGACTGACTACATTGGGCATTGCGACATATGTCAGACATGAAACGAGTGAACTGGTATTTTTTGACTGGGGTTGCTGTATACCAAATGTTGTGTGCGTCTGGAGAACTAAGAACATCTTTAATACAGTGCGAAAAAAGTGATCCGGCATTTGGGTCACTTTCGTCAAGGAGCTGGCGAAGTGCATTGACGGGACACTGGTTTAGAAATCTATATCATTCGTCGCGTACATTCGTTTGTCGCTTTGCGCTTCATCGCTGCTGAGACCACCCTGGATGTTTTTTTGTTTCGTTTCGTGGGACAGTGGGACATATTCAACATTGCTATCATCTACCGCAAATTCAAAGGATGTGGGCGTAAGCTGCTGGTGAAATTCAAGACCACGACTTACAAAATGGATGGCCAAGTCGTACCATACTTTGTACCTGAGGATAACAGGATTGGATGCCGAATGCAGATAAGTGCTAATTTTCATCAGATCACTTGTTTCAATGATTGATTTATGTTGTGTGGGACGTGACAAGCCATGTTGTACATTGTACTTTAATTTAGCATCAAGCATATCATTTGCAGACTTAAACTGCTTGTCTCTTATAATGTCAATATCTCTCCCGATATCATTTAAGTGTCTTTTCAGGGCAGAACGAACATTTTTTAAAGTGTTCTTGTGATACTCGGCAACATGTGCAGCCGGCATATTTTCACATCTTGTTTCCTTGTTTTAAGGCTGTGCCTCAGTGTAGAAAAATCTCAACTTTGTGTTAAGTTCTCCTGGTGTAATTGTTGAAAAATCCACAGTCCTCCCCTCGCTCTCGAACGACCAATCTAAATAAACAGAACGAAAACAATATCTAGAAACCTGACTATGACAGACCCAACTGTGCAAACTTTGAACTAGGTAACTTTATAGCAAATCATTTTTCTCGGTTAGATCTACAAAATTTAATCTCATTCTGATAATTGTTCCATTTTTAAAAATACAACTTTGTGCTGATGAACTGTGTTTCGTTTTGAGAAAATATACGTAAGATGGAATTTGAAAATAATATTTATATGAATTGTGTATATCTACCTTGGAATAGTTTAACACCCCATTTTGTGTTTCTTTTTGTGGATGTTCATTGTCTGTAGTCGTCCATTCGAAGTAAATCATTACTTGATAAACGTTTGAAACGATGTGTTTGGGATGGCTTATCATCGACTTGCATTGCACACGTCATCTCGTGATTTGCCGATGTTTTTGTAGATCTGGTTGATGCTGTTGTCTCTAACAAAGTTTCAATTTCTTCCAGGTCTAAATCATCCGGAAAATCAATGTTATCCGTGCTAAGAGTTGCAACGTTTCCGGTAGATTGATCTTCGAAAATCGACTCAAAATTCCCCAGATCAAAACTTCCGTACTTGGAATCGGCCATCTTGTTGGAATGTAAACAAGACAAGTTGCAGACGACTGTTCGCTGACTGCACGTGGTAACCACCGTAACCAGTCAAATAATGTATAATGACAAACACTTTTTTATTAAATAAACACTTTATTAACGTTCACGGATAATTTTGAGTTGTTTGTTTATGTTAACCACAATGTATCACTTCAATGTTTATCAAAAAGTTCATTAAGGTACCCGAGTGCAAGGGAATTCCCTCGCTGTGTAAAGGTATTCCCCGACATTCCTCAGGTCCGAAAGTAGTCCGGTTCGGTGGGCGTGGCTTATTTTTTTAGATTCATTGGGAAATGAAATCAAAAGAAATGTTCCCAGTTAACCAATCAGATTTCCAGAATTTTAATGAACACAATAAAAAATTAATTATACTCCATTGAACCACATCCCATCATTCCCTTCACCAGATATTGTATGACCATACTCCATGAAGATGGGTTCTTTATATCCCATTCAAACATTATCCTATCATTCCTCATCAAAACCGATTCCATCATTCTTCATCAAAACCCATGCTTTAATACTTCTATCCCCCAATTCTCCAGCTCCCATCGTGGTATCCCAATTATTCTCCAGCAAACCCCGTCCCATCATTCTCCAGCAAATCCCATCCAAAAATCTTCTCCCCATGCTTCTCAAGCAAACCCTATCCCATCATGTTCTCCCCATGATTTTCTAGCAAACCCCTTCCCATCATGTACTCCCAATGATTCTCCAGCAAATCCCATCCAAAAATCTTCTCCCCACGATTTGCAAGCAAACCCCCTCCCATCATGTTCTCCCCATGATTCTGCATAAGAACCCCATCACATCATGTACTCCCAATGATTCTCCAACAAACCCCCATCCCATCATGTTCTCCCCATGATTTTCCAGCAAACCCGATCCCATCATGTTCTCCCCATGATTCTCTAAGCAAACCCCCTCCCATCAAATTAACCCCGTCCCATCATTTACTCCCAATGATTCTCCAGCAAACCCCATCCCATCATTCTCCAGCAAATCCCATCCAAAAATCTTCTCCCCATCATTCTCAAGCAAACCCCCTCCCATCATATTCTCCCCACCATTCTACATAAAAAACATCACATCATGTACTCCCCATGATTCTCCAGCAAACCCCATCCAATCATGTTTTCCCCATGATTTTCCAGCAAACCTCATCCCATCATGTACTCTCAATGATTCTCCAGCAAACCCCATCCCATCAAATTATCCCCATTATTCTCCAGCAAACCCAATCCCATTATGTTCTCCCAATGATTTTCCAGCAAACCCCATCCCATCATGTACTCCCAATGATTCTCCAGTAAACCCCCTCCCATCAAATTATCCCCATGATTTTCCAGCAAACCCCATCCACACATGTCCTCCCCCATCATTCTCCAGAAAAAGCCCATCCCATCATGTCCCACCATGATTATGCTGCGAACCGCATCCAAACATCTTCTCCCCATGATTTTCCATAAAAAACCCATCCCAACATGTCCTCCCCATGATTCTCCAGCCAACACCATCCCATCATGTCCTCCCCATTATTCTCCAGCAAACCCCATCCTACCATGTCCTCCCCAAGATTCTCCATAAAAAACCCATCCCATCATGTCCTCCCCATTATTCTCCAGCGAACCCCATCCCAACATGTTCTTCCCATGATTATGCTGCAAACCGCATCCCAATATCTTCACCCCATTATTTTCCATAAAAAAACCATCCCAACATGTCCTCCGCATCATTCTCCAGAAAAAGCCCATTCGACGCCCCCTCCCCCATGATTCTCCAGCCAACACCATCCCATTATGACCTCCCCATGATTCTCCAGCAAACCCCATCCCAACATGTTCTCCCCATGATTCTCCAGAAAAAAAACATCGCATCATGTCCTCCCCATGATTCTCCAGCAAACCCCATCCCAACATGTCCTCCCCATGATTCTCCATACAAAAAAACATCCCATCATGTCCTCCCCATTAGTCTCCAGCAAACCCCATCCCAACATGTCCTCCCCATCATTCTCCAGAAAAAAACCATCGCATCATGTCCTCCCCATGATTCTCCAGCAAACCCCATCCCAACATGTCCTCCTCATCATTCTCCAGAAAAAGCCCATCTCATCATGTCCCCCCATGATTATCCATCAAACCCCATCCCAACATGTCCTCCCCATGAATCTCCAGCAAATCCCATCCCAACATGTCCTCCCCATCATTCTCCAGAAAAAGCCCATCCCGTCATGTCCCCCCCCCCATGATTCTCCAGCAAACCGCATCCCAACATGTCCCCCCCATGATCCTCCAGCAAACTCCATCCCATCAGAAGACCAGTATATTCTGATGCCCTACACTGTCATAACGCCATTCTGTCCAGTAATAAAGTCGAAATATT